TGATCTATTTCAGGTCAAGTTGTTGTTGTTTTTTACACTAAAAAAACACTTGTATCGCTTCATAAAAATGAGGTAAAACCACTGGAGATACATGGATTACTTTAATGATGTATTTACTACCTTTCAGGGGGTTGAAAGTGGCAGTTGAAGACTGTCGAAAGCTCTCAGATGTTAATAAAAATATCCTCATTTGTGTTCTGAAGATGAACGAAGGTCTTAAGGGTTTGGAACGACATGAGGGTGAGTAATTAATTAATGATATAAAAAATTTTTTGGGGTGAACTAACCCTTGAACGATCACTGCTGTTTGTTTTAATATGTGTATTAGGAGATGATGAACTAACACTTTAATGTATACTAATTTATTAAGACTTGTTGAAAAATAAAACTAAAATTATAAGCATTTTAAAAACATTTTCTATGTGCTAATACATTTTGATCAACTAATGGGTTATTTTTAGGTCTGCAGAATTTAAATAGCCCTGCTAAATGGAAAAACGTACACTGAGCTGCAAACCGTTCAGCCTTCATAGGCTTTTGATCTGCTCCCTGCTGAAGGTAATAATGACGGTTGAGTCTAAAGACCACAAACGTCTGTTCACTGGCCGTCTGATGCTGCAAACTTCAATCATCAAACTTCAATCACACTAACTGACTGCGACAACTTCTTACCTTTTGTCGTGTTGTTGGTTTACACAATGGTGAACCAGTTCTGTCTTCCTCCTGGGTCTCGACTGCAGTAACAACAACCACAGATATGTTACAATGACAGTTTTTAATAATAGTTTTTTATTCATTTGTGTCTTAAAAAGATAAAGATGCGCACAGATAAATTGCTTGCTCTTCTGACCTGTTTTTCTACATTTCTTGCAGATGCAGAAGATCACGACTACAGCAACAATCACCAGAGATCCAGCAGACACAGCAGAGATCAACACAATGAACAATAAAGGTAGACCTTGATCTGTAATAGACATAATGAGCCATTAGTGTGAGTGAATCTGTCCGTCTGATCTACAGCTAACACTATATGAAATATCAGACAGCACTATATAGCTTGATAGATCAGGTCAGTAAACACACTCATATATCATCAGTGCTGCTGTACCTGCACATGTGTGGCAGAGTGTGTTGATGTCCAGATGTGTGGTCTGGTTGCTGATGGGATTGTTCAGCACACAGCTGTAGGTGTTTTTATCCTGATATACCACCTCCAGAGGTAGAGAGAGACTGATGCTGAGATCACACACACTGATGCTGGACAATACACTCATTCCTGCGTACCAGGAGAGAGTCGCATCACACACACTCAACACTGATAAACACACCAATGAACAATTGAATGATGATGATGATGAAGAACACTGTGAAGAGTTACTGATGATGACAGGAACAGGCAGACGAGCTGGAAAACATGAGAGAATGAGAAGAAATATGGGTAAATCTAAACAATCTGATTTTTGGTGTATTGTGTTGACATCAGTGAGTGTTTGTGTGACTTTTCAGTATGTAAATATTTTAAGAAATATTCAAGTTAAGCTCAATCCAATGTATTTTTGGCATAATGTTGATTACTGAAAAAAAATATTTTCACTTGTCCACCAGAAAAGCAAAAAATGTGTTACAGTGAGGCGCTGAATGGAGCTGGGCTGGATTTCCAGATAACGTGAGAGCCCCTTTTCCACCGAAGCATTTTGAGAGCCGGTTCGGAGCCGGTGCCTGCGCGCGAACCAGTTCTTTGTGTTTCGACAGCCAAAGAACCGGTTCTCGGCCAGGAAAACTGGTTCCCAAGCGGCACCAACTCTTTGCTGGACTAGAACCGTTCTTTTACCACGTCATGCTTACGTCGGGGGCTGGGCGCGGGTTTAGATGTGTTCTAAACATCTTTTCTGACCATAATATAGGATCGCAAAGCCAGGAGAAACATTTGCAGAAACACGATGTAGTCCGCCATTGTAATTGTTATGCTTGAAGTTGGCGCAAGCGTTTCTAGTTTTTTTTTATTTTATTTTTTTATTGAAAACATTATGTAAGCAAAGAAAAAAAACAGTCACAATATAGAACAAATAAATGGAAAGAAAAAAAAGACAAGACATGGGTACATAACATATCATAAAAGATTACATATCAAAGGAAAAGATTAAAAGACTTACATATTTCAATTGTTTTTAAAGCCTTCTTGGTACACGAGTTAGAGATAATCCCAAAGTAATGTTGTACTTGCAAGCGTTTGACGTATGGCTTGGCGACGTACACAGTGACGTAACGACGTCGTTCGCTGGGCGCTCTAGTCAGTGGAAAAACAAACAGGTTCTGAGAAGGTTCTCAAGTTGAACCAACTCCGAACCAACTTTGAACCAGCACTAGTTCCGAACCAGTTCTTTTTTGGTGGAAAAGGGGTAATTATAGCGCTACGTAGACTCTTAAGGTATAACTTAACTAAAGGTATACCATTTCTAGGCGTGTTCCCCGAACTATACCTTAAGATATTCCTTCTTACGTGTGACGTTACAGGTGCTGTCCGTGGCGATGCTGTTGAATCTGCTGATATCGATGACTCGAGAATCAATTATTCACTCGTGCAGGGGAAGCTTCACTGCGTTATGTGCGAAAGCGGTGGTCTTTACAAAAAAGAAGCACTTCAGAAATAGTTGAAATTGCATTTTTTGGGGGATTGAGATATTATAAAAAATAACCCAAACTATAATAGCCTAGCCTATCATTTTAAAATTGTATCATATATTGCTGTCACATAACTTTCCAGCATTTCAGTGATAAAAGTGTACATCGTACGTACGGTGCTCGGCAGTGATCAAAAATGATTTAAACAGTGAATTTTGAAGTGATCTCTTCTTGTAAACTCAGAGATGTGGATTTGGACGGCAATTAAATTACCACATTACCTTGGTTTTTGACAAAAGAAAACTGAGATAATTTGGCTGGAGATTTTTCCGCGGTTGGTGGGAGAAAAAAAACACTGACATTCTGGATTCGGACCGCAATAAAATCACAGAAAATTAATGTAAATGTAGAATTTTTCCTTCTAAATATCACATGAGTTGAATGACTTCTCTAGGCTTATGAGATTTTACTTTGTTATAGAAGTTACCAGTGTGATTACTGAAATGTTCTTTTCTTGTATTCTTTCAAAGTCTGTATTTGATATCTGAGATGTGACTGAGGGTCTGGCCAATGCCAGGAATGCAGTAACAGTGTTTGCTCATTTAGCCCGGCTTCCAGAAATTAAATATGGACTTCTTTAACATGTGTCAATACATGCATCGGCTTTTCTAGGGTACCCTGACCTTTTAAAGTGTCCTCTCCTTGAGAGAAATGTAAGACTGTCTAAATTTGATCCAATGCCGGCATTCAAATTAGCGGTGAAGGTCTCAACGCGCGTTCCGTCTCTTCCAATGGCAGAGGGATTTATAATTAAATGCAATACTTTTTATCTTATGTATTAACTCGTTTCATCTGACTCCATAAATGAAAGTGTTTTTCAATGATATCTGTGCATCATTAAATATACGTTAATGTTTGACTATTCCTTTTAACTCCAATGAAAATAAAGTCAAAGTCTGTTTAGAATAATCAAAGAATAATCAAATATAACAATTTATTATGTCAGGTAAATGTATTTTAACAATTCCATAATCAATTGAAAGATAATCAATGCAAATCATCAAATGTTTTAGGATTAGAGAAATAGATGCAAACCCAACATGAACTACATGAGCTAAACCTCACGGGCTATCTGAAATACAGAAAAAGCCACGATCCCTTGCTGCCTTCCATTAAATAGCCAGACCTCATTTCATATGTAAACCTGTATTCACAGTGGAAATGTACTGTGTTCATCCCCCCAGACTTACTGGGGGCAGAAGTAAATTTACATGGTACCATTTGCTAACAGTGGAAATTAGCATTGAGTTCACACCTTGGGAGTAGGAGACCACATTCATTTGTGTGCCAGATATCCCTAAACTCTTAAAAAACCTTATTACCTTTTGTTTTATACTTTGGGAATGAGACATCTGAACCAGCCACCCTGAGACCTTTAAAATGATACCAAACATAATACTCAATGATAATCATTCACATCAAACCATAGATATTCTTATGTGAGTTTTTATGTGTCACTGCGAGAGTGGGGGATGCGGGGAAGAAGTGTGTGTGTGTGTGTGTGTGTGAGAGTTCAAATGTTAATTTGCCAAGGTCCTTTGTCTCATAGACCAGTGGTCTATCTCTTCACCCACTTTCCAGTTTTCCAGTCTTACAGAAATAACGTATTATCTTGATGTTTTGAGAATACTCTCCTGTTTCTAGTTAGAGTCTTCTTGGTTACAGGGTTGAGGAACAGCATTAGATTGACTGAGTTGTTGTTCGGGACAGGCTAGCGACCTGGAAAGTCATGGCGTGCCTAACTTCAGGGTCCGAGTGTCAGCCGCATAATCGATGGAGATATGCTTTAGTCTATCTGTATATGTGTGGAAAATTACTATGTTTATCTTTTTCTCAGCCAATGAGAATCATTCAACCTGTAAGTAATGACGTAGTTTAGACCTTGGAAATGGTATAACTCCTGTGATCTTTGTAACTGTAAGCGGGGCGGCCTACGAACTCCTGTGTGAGTATTGAAGCTGACTTCTGCTGATGAAACTGCAAACTATCTTCAGTAAAACTTTTCTTTAATCTATTATAATTCTGACTCTTGACTTATTGACTGAACTTCTGACTCCGGGTCTTAATTAATAATATCTGGTCCTTAGATGTTAAATGTTCTTAGTTAAGTAAACTAGGGGATTTACTAAGGAACTTAGTAAATCCCCTAGTTTACTTAACTAAGAACGTTTTGGGAAAAACACGTATTAACGATAAGGTACAGCTTAAGGAACTTAAGAACAATGTAGCGTTAAGAAGGTTTCGGAAAATCCAGCCCAGATCTGTAAACATACTCACTGTTTCAGTTGTGAAGGACGAGACAAATGATCTCTACTCACCATAGACAGAAACACTGAATGTTTTTGATGATCGTTTCGCTCCCCTTATCTCTAGTTTATAAACTCCAGTATGTTCAGTTGTGGTGTTTGTGATGGTCAGAGATCCAGTTTGATCGTCCAGTTTCAGTCTGTCTCTGAATCTCCCATCAGGAACATCAGATGTGGAGAAGACTTCTGTCTCAATGCTGATTTTAGCTATCAGAGAGTTTTCAGCTCCATATTTCCACAGTATGTCGTCGTCTTCATGTATTTCAGTAACATTAGTGTTTAGAGTGACAGAATCTCCCTCCATCACTGACACTGAATCACCAAACACACCTGGAGAACATGAACAAAATCAGATTAAGGCTTCTTTTGGTTTACAAACCAGAGGCCGGTTGCACCAGCTGGATACACTCAGTTGTAGTTTGAATGTAAAATACACCTTAAGTCCTGTGTAGGACTAATACCTGTTGCACCATCTAGGAGTATCGCACATCTGAGAGTAAATCGTACAGTCAATGGTAGGTGTAAAGTTTAAAGTCATGACTTGTTCGGACAAGATTACTTTAATGTCTGTGAATTAATTGTTAGTGCAGACGTGAACTGCAATGTTTATGCTTAATTTGCGCAGGATAAGTGAGATGTGTGTGCCGACTGCACACTGCCGACAGATGTAATGGACCTAACAACATTTCTGTATGTAATAATGTAGGAAATATTAAATATGAATTTATCTGGGATTATTAGCAGAAACTGTATATCATGCATTCTCTTGCTCGGAGGTACAGTATAATTGGAAATAATATTTCACGTTTTTAAGTCCATTCACGGCAAGCGATATTTAGCCTGTGAATAATTTAAAATAACTGTAAAAAAAGCAATATTATTTAACACATAACATAATTACATAACCCTTAGGCTACAGGTAAATTACGTTGTATGCACATAATTTTCAGAAAGAACACTTTGACATTTGACATGCTCGCTCACACTTAATAAGCTGGAAATAAAATCCTGACTAAATATATAACCATTTACATGTTTCGGACGTTTGTGTTGTAAAAAAGTACAGAGAGTTTAGATAACATTGTAAGGTAAACATTGTAAGGTAACATTTACGCATTGAAATCAGATGGTGCAGTGTCTTCACTTGTTGTGATGACATGAACAATGGAGTTCTTTATTAATAGCAAAGTTTTTAACCATTGAGAATCATCTGCTGGATGTATTTGTGCCTGGTTGTAGTTTTAGTTAGTGTAATCTTACACCTAAGTATTTTACTGTACGTCCAACTAGTGCAACGGCCCCTGATGTTTGAAATTATAAGTTAATTGCTTTTTGACCAATTAATTTATTTGTTCATTATCACTACCAAAGTATTTTTAAAATAATTTTTAGAGATGTCTATTTGTATTTGTATGTTTAGTAACAATCCTTCAAATTAATATATGTAACCCAGAAGAAGAAAACAACACAGAAAAGCCCTGAGTTTTGAAAAGCGCTTTCTGAGCCCCATTGAGTTTATTCAGTATAGAATTTTCCATTCTTTTCCCTGACTTTTAACAGTTTAATATTATTGTCAAGGCCTGTAAATCACAATTTTAAAATTCTCGGGAAAACAGAGACAGCGAATGTACGGTATACGCTGTTCGTAATATTAAGACATAAAAATGCTTTTATAACTTACCAGTCAGACGGCACCAGCACAAACAGAACAAAACAAACATGTAAAACATTTTCATCACCCGTTCAGTGTCTGATGTAATAAAACTTTCCGCTGAAAACACTCATCTGTGTGAATCCTCCCACAACGAGTCTGACCCTCCTAGTTCAAACTAAACCTGAACGCATGTTATACAGTTACATTAAGAACAAGTGTATTTCTAGCTCTTATTACGACTTTAATCCCCGGTTTCACAGTCAAGGCTTAAGTCTAGTGCCAGACTAAAATGCATGTTTGAGCTGTTATAAGTGCCATTGTTTTGTCTCAAAATGCACACCAGTGATGTTTTTCTAAGGCATGTTTATAAAAGCTATAATGAACTAAGGTCTAATCTAAGCCCTGTCTGTGAAACCAGGCCTAACTGTTTTAACAGTGGAATAAATCTCTTTTTTCTCATTTAACATTGATAATTTATTTGATTATCGTCGCTGTCGGGCGGAAACCTCGTATGTCCAAATTTGGTCAATTTAATATTTTTTCACAAATCGATGCTATTGGTCAGTCTCCACGTGGGTCTGTTATTTTTACAAATTATTAACCAATCGAAAGTGTTGAAAATAGCTTGTGAGCAAACCTCTTAACTCCATTGGACACTTCAACTGTCTGAGAAACCTCGTAACTCCACCCCTTCTTCACTTGGCGCCGCCGCGCTGGAGCTTCGCGGCATTTTTTCTCCTCAAGATTGGAAGTCGCAATCCTCGTTGAGCAACACGTCCTCTGAGGTAAATGTCCTTATTCATGATTTAGTTATATAAATTATATAATAATAACAGTTTATATATTATATATAACAGTTTTATCTCGATCGAAGTAATGGTAGTGCTAGTTTAGTGTAATGTATCATTTCTGAGGATGCTAGATTTTTCTTTCTGCTATGTCTTGCATTGGACGGTAAGTTAGCTAAGTTAACTTATCATGTTGATTGAAATCTTCCATGGTTTTGTTTCTGACGAGGACATTTTATTTAAACCGCAAAAATTGCCTGTCGTTGACTTAGTTAGCCGCTATGTAACGTTATTGGTTTTGTCATCATGTTAGGTGAGATAGGTAGCTAACGTGATTTTCGTGGGGCTTAAATAAAAACCTCTCGACCCCCGCTAACGCTAGTTCTGGCACTTATCTGAGGAACAACATAATAATTTAATGTACTATGTCAGTATTGTAGCTTACAATGTCAAGGCATTCCGTCATGTTCAACAAGTAGCTACCTTTTACGTCATGTTCATCACTTTAAGCAAGCTAGCTGGCTTCTTGCCTTGTTATCATACGTAAACATGTCGTATAACTTAGTGAAACGATCATTTGACCTTTATTTATTTTATTTTTTGCAGCAACCATGTCTGTGTCCTTAAAGGAACTCTGTCAGATGGTCAATGTGCCATATGATCAGGCAAGGGCCCTATTATGGCGCTTTTCCACTACACAGTACCAGCTCGCCTCGGCTCGACTCGACTCGCCTTTGTTTGGTTTTCCACTGTGTAAAAGTTGTACCTGTACCTGCTTTCGGGTACTTTTTTTCGTACCACCTCCGGCGAGGTTCTAAGCGAGCTGAGGCGAGCTAAGCCGATACTAAAATGTGACGTGAAAACAATGCCGACTGCTGATTGGTCACAGAGAATCTGCGTCATCATTGCACGCGCCAGATGGAGTATCCAGAATAACCCCGCCATTTTTAAATAGTTTGGCCAGAGATAGTTACTAAACTTACTACTATTATTATGGCAACTCGGAAGAAAACGCCGTGGTCAAACGAGGAGGTGCAGACATTCCTTTGTTTGGTTGCCGAAGAGAGGATCCAGCGAGAGCTTGATGGGGCAACGAGGAACGAAATGCGTCGCTATGACGACCGGGTACTATTTGTGGCGGTACTTTCTGCAATGGAAAACGGAGCGAAAAGCGAGCCGAGTCGAGGCGAGCCAAGGCGAGTCGAGTCGAGCTGGTACTGGTAATGGAAAAGCGCCATTAGACAGTGAGAGCTCTGATGGAGAGAGTGTAACGTTAGAGAGAGAGGAAGCAACAGTGGTGGAGGATACAGTGGTGGAGGATACAGTGGTGCATGCTGGTAGAGTGAATTTCTGAGAGATAATCATGATTTCACATGCCAAAATGAATGAGTTTTAATGCAGATGTATTTCACAACAATAGAAATAATAAAAAAATCACACTATTTGTATGATGTGTTTGAAAAGATTTCTCTGGTGGTCTGGAGGAAGAGGAGGCCTCACTGCTGGCTCCAGAGCAGGTGCAGTTTGACACGGGTAAGTTTGATGCTTTTCTACATTTTCTCATTAAATTGGATAAGGTCCTTCAACTATAGCCCTCACTGTTGACAGTTTATAAAGATGTAACTCATTCATGCACGTTTGGTTTGTGTGTGTATTTTGAAGTTTTCCATGGTGGAGGCGATGAGGACTCGGATGCAGAGCATTCATGCTCAGATGCTGAGGAAGACGCACCTCCAAGGAAAAGACTGAGAGCTGAGAACACCTGGAAGAAAGTCATCAACAAGAAAAGAAGAATGGTTGGAAAGTCATACATTGGAAAACAGAAGCAGAAGGAAACAATGAGGGAGCCACGGGCTATGGGGCCTAGATGTTCATCAGCAGCATGTGCCAGGTCAGGTAAACATCACTGCAGTGCAATCGGCGAGCCTGAGAGGAATACGATTTTCAATGACTTTTGGCAACATGTGACCTGGGAGGAGAAGAGAGTGTATGTGCGTGGTCTAATTGATGTGGTCCCCGTGCAAAGGAGAAGAGGGGCTGAAAATTCCCGAAGATCAAATTCGCTGTTGTTTTTTTTACGGGTCAGCGGGCAGAGAAGACGCGTCTGCAAAAGTATGTTTTTGTCTACCCTAGGAATAGGCGAGTGGTCTGCTCTTAACTGGGCAAAGGAGGGACACACGCAAGCAGAGACAGAGGGACAAACACACAGCAATGCACGTCGTTCAGTGGCAGGCCATGAATTCATTTGCAGTTTTTTGCACGACCTCCCAAAGGTGCCCTCACACTATTGCAGATCCACAACATCCAAACAGTATCTGGAACCTGTGTTTCAATCGATGGCTGATCTGTATGCAGTGTATTGTCGTGCTGCTGCAGAGAAGAATGTAACACCTTTGTCAAGGCAAGTGTTCACAAATGAGTTCAAGCATCTCAACCTAGGCCTTTACCACCCAAAAAAGGACCAGTGCAACATCTGTTGTGCTTTCAAGACCGGCAACTTACCTGATGACGAGTGGCAGCACCATCTCCTTCAAAAAGAAGAGGCCCGCGCCGAAAAGTTGTCCGACAAAAGCAAGGCCAGCAACAACACTATGGTCTTATGTATGGACTTACAAGCCCTCCTTTTGTGCCCAAAGCTAAAAGCCTCTGCCTTGTATTACAAAACAAAGCTTGCTGTTCACAATTTTACCATGTACAACATGCTGACACACAGTGCCACATGTTATGTCTGGCATGAAGGCGAGGGATCCCTGTCTGCCAGTGAGTTTGTTTCATGCATTGTCGACTACCTCTCTGCACACACTGAGCCTGACACATTTATTCTGTGGAGTGACGGCTGCGGGTATCAGAACCGGAATGCAGTTCTAAGCAATGCACTTCTTCTGTTCTCCATGAAGAATAACAAAGTCGTCATTCAGAAGTACCTTGAGAAAGGGCATACTCAGATGGAATGCGACTCCGTTCACAGCGTCATCGAGAGGCGTCTGAGGGACCAGGATGTTTATCTCCCAGCAGAGTATGTTAACCTGATGAAGAGGGCCCGTGTAAAGCCTCATCCATATGAAGTCAAGTACATCGACCACACCTTCTTCCAGGACTTCACCAAGCTGAGGCTCTGCAAGTCTCTGCGCCCTGGAGGAAGACCTGGTGACCCAACTGTCCATGATATCAGAGCCATCAGGTAATTACCAATGCAAATCTTATGTCTTACCAATATACTCA